GGCTAGATAAAAAATACCAAAAAAGATAATAATATAATAGAGTACTATTATAAGACTCACTGTGAGTAGGAAGGACATGATAAAAAGAGTAAGTTTTAAGGTTTAAGAATAGGGGACATTAATAGACTAAATACTAATTTATTACTGTAAAGATTAATATTAATCTTGCTCTTAAGCTATAGATCTTAAGTTAAAAATACTTTCTTTAAACCTTATATACTCCTTCTATAATATTATTAAGAACCACATTTGCATTTTCAAATTTATTTAATTTTAATGGATTTTTTTTTATAGGGTTCTAAGGGGTAGCAGCAAGTAGAAAATAAGAGGAGAAAAAAAGTCTTAGAAGAAAAGTATAAAGAATTATTCTACTCTAATTTACTTTAAGATTTTTATATATAAATAAGATCAGCTTAAGAGTAGGTCTCAGGACTTAAACCTTACTATAAGATGTTAAATAGAATAAGATAAGATTATTTAATTATTATGTGACTTTAGGCTCCGTGCGGCGTGCCTAAACCTCCCTTACTATTACCCCTCCTTTAAAATCTTTCCTCTACTATACTTATAATAGAATTCTGAAGTCTAACTATACTCTATAGATAGTTTTCACACTAAAAGTGTTTTAAACATTCTTAAATGTTTAAAAACACTAATTAAGAATGGCTAGTATGAGAGAGTAATAGATAACGATAGATAGAAGTACACCAGTAAAGAGCTTTTATAGGAACTAGAAAGATTAAGAAGAGAATTAGAAAGTTCTGGCATAATAGTTAGTATTATAGCTATTTAGCTATGCTTTACTATTATTAATTAGTCTCTAGGTTAATTTATGTTGAGTCACTTATATTAAAATAGGTGCTAATCTATAGAACCCTATAAAGGATAGCTTGATTCTGATCCTATTAAAAGGATGTCTAGACCTTTATTGTAGAAATCCACTACCCCAGCATCTTAAAAAACTATGAACTAGAGAACCTTAATGTATTGAAGAGGATTATATAGTAAAAGGGAAGATAGATATACTTTCTATAAAACTAGTAAAAGGCACTAAAAACATGTATTAATAGCCTATTTACCTTTTTATTAATAAAAACTAATTAAAAAATCCATCCTGGTCAATGAGTAAATCTAAGTTGTACTTATATAGCGTAGAACTTTTGGGCTATATAGTAGTCTTAGGTTTAAGATATAAATAATTTTTAAAGTCTATAGAAAGGACCTTAAGAAGTATATGATTAAAGAGTGGTTGCCCTGAGGGCTAATATTAGTAGCTATAAAAAAGTAATATATCATCTAAGGGTGGAGTAATCTTAGAGGTTCTCTTAAGATTAGAGTATAAGAAATATTGCCCTAGAGGCTATAATTATGGGTATTTACTCTAACTATATTTATTATTATTATCTAATTTTCTTTTTTGATTCTTATGCTCCTTAAAAATCTCTTTAACTTATACTAATAATATTAGAACTGTGTATATAAAGGAGGTGGGATATATTATTATTAAGATTTAACAGCTCTTAAAACCACTTATCCTTCTTTTTAATAATACTAGGGAATTTAGATGCCTTTATTTTATAAGCTAGCTTTTAATAACTCTTATAAGATAAGTATATAAAACCTTACTATATAAAGTATAGTAAAATGATAAAAGCACATTTTAAGAAAATTTTATGGGAGAATTTGTCTTACTTAAGGTATATTATAATAAATATAATATATCTAATACTATGATTAAGAGCATTTATAGCCTTTTTTTAGTTAGTAAAATATAACTTTAAATATATATAGTCTTAATATGTTATTTCTAGATTGGTTAAGCTATTTTAATTAGAGGCCAGGTATTTAACTTTCAACTTTAAACTATTTAGTATGTAATTAACTATGATGTTTATAGTGCTTATAATAGCTTATAATTTTGTCTCAAAACTCAATGTAGACTATTCAGCTATAATAAGGTCTATAATATATAGGTCTTCCCTTTATAAATTATTTAAGTTTATGATAACCTTTAGGTCATTTATAATAGTCTTAATTATTACTCTCTTACTAGATTTCAGCTTCTCTATAATATTATTAATCGCGGGTGAGGCTTTAATCTCAGGTTTAATTATAGTAGAGGAATTAATTATAGGAGAGGCTTTAATCGCGGGAGAGACTTTAATTATAGGTTTAATTATAGGAGAGGCATGGATTGTAGGAGAGGCTTTAATTGTAGGTTTAATCGCAGGAGAGGCATGGATTGTAGGAGAGG